TCTCTCCTTCTGCCTCTCAGACACGATGTCACATGTTATCCCTATTGGAGTTAATAGGGGTCTGGCATGACAATAGTTCTTAATCAGGCTTTTAATGTAAGTAAGTTGAAAAAATCAATGCCATAGACATTCAAGCAGCTTATTATTTCTACCTAATATGATTTGGTGTGCCTACCTGTACTCCTAAATCAAGTCATGACAACAATTATTCTGATGTTTTATTTTTAAGATAATTGCTTTACCACTAGATTCATTTTAGAAAACAGTTTCACTATTTAGTGGAAATCTTTTTGAAATGCTATCTATACACACATATAAAATTTAAAAATATTTCTTTCAAAGGCTAAAGCTAGGTGTGAATAATTGTTCAACAGCATTATCAAAATACAAAAAGGGAAAATATAAAATATAGTACCATGCTTATCATTCAGTTTGGTATACAAGGTAAGAATGATTGAGATGGCCCTGCTTCCCATATGTATTAACATACTTTGCTAGAAAGTCTACTTTTTATAAATTAAGTTGGCTTCATATTCCTGATGTAGGCTGCTAGTCATTCATACTTTAGCTTAAATTAGTCTGATATAATTTATTTTTTTATTAAAAGCTCAATTAGATCTGTCTACTATGCCTTAATGGGAGTTTTGGTGAGAAGTAGAAATTGAATTGTAATAGCGTAGAATTCTTCTTTGGGTTAGATAGTCCTCGATAGCATGGTGCATTTTGGGGCTCTTGGGTAACTAAATAGGAGCAGCAGACAAATGTGAGGAGTTGACATCAAGGTGTAAGCAAATAAGCAAGAAAAAAATATTAATGGAGATGAAAGATAAAATTTACTTCTAACTTTCAGTATTAAGAATTGTCCTTTCTCTACAGCAATGCTTATCTCTGAAATAATTCCTTTCCTTTGATCTCTCTCAAAAACTCTCTGCTGAGAGATTATATTTAGGATATAACACATTGTATTTTTGTTTCAAAAAATTAGGTTCAAAACCCATTTTTCTTAGTAAAATAAATGTCCACTTCCATCCGGTAATGTATTGGGTTCTCAGTGCTAGTTCCAGTTTTCATCAAGCAGACCTTGATCTTTTAGTTCACTATTATGATCTATAAAGGTTAACATATACGACAGAGATACAGAAAGAAAGGAAAGGAAATGTGTTTTATATAAATCAAGTTTAAAAAATCAAGAAATGATAAAATAAGAAAAAAATATTTCTGTAACTCAAAAGAAGATTAAATACTAAATACATTTGGTTCTTTTTGTTCCAATGAGAAATCTGTTTACCTATGTATGTTAGAAATATGCTGGGGTCTTCAACTTTGTTTTGAAGTCAGCTGAAATATATTTTTGAAATACACTGTATTCTAGGACTTCAAGGTCAGTTGCAACATTGGAAATATGCTCCTAATGTAAGCACACTTCTTTTTATATTTCAGAACTAGGTAGATTTAAAAAAAACTTCAATGTTTGGATTTCATTTATTCTGTTTAACTCGGATTTGTTTTTAATGATATCCCTTCATTTCAGAAACTTGTATTTCCTTGTTTCTTCATACCAACTTCCAGTTTTTAACTGTCAGATAACTTATTATATTACATTATATTAGTAAAAATAATCAAAGACTTGTAACTCAGTAGTGATTTCTCACCCAGGAAATTTGAAGGTAAGGTATTTCCAATTTACAATAAGCTTCTTCAGTTATATATAAAACAAATTAATGAATTAAAGTGATAACTTAGCACATGCTTTAATCCATGTAAATAAAATTCACAATTCGTGCAAACTAACGCCATTAAAAAAAACTAGATCATAACTTTTTTACTACTTTAAAGAGAAACTCAAATATTAAATAACAATATAAAGAGAAACTCAAGTTATCTTTTGCTATTCATCACTTTAACTGCAAAACATTCATATCTCCATTAATTACCTGAAATTAGCAAAATACTCTTTCTTTCCCCAAATCGTGGATTATTCCGGGAAAATAGGCAGACCAACATTTATCACCATTGGCCCTCAGAAAAATGACCTGGGAGAACAAGAAAATCGACATTATCTTAAAAGTGATTTGACATATGGAGTAAATCAGGGGACACATTAACAAAGTAAGGCAGATATTCTATAGAGGTAACGAGTTAAATCTAAATTATTTATGAAAAAAATTACTTCTCTTTAAATGTCAATGTTTAAAGGAACCCTATTCAACAAGGAACTTGTTTGAACTTTTAAAATTATGCCAACCTCAGAGTGGCTAATAACAATAGTTTTATGAGCAAATTAGAAATTCTTTTTGCAAACATCCTAGTTTTTGACCTGCTGGGGAATAAAATTTAAAGAAAAAACAAAACAAAACAAAAAAAACTTTGCTAGCTCTGACCTCTATTGGGAAAGAATATCCTGGTGTCTCTCCCGAGGTCTTGCCGTTTTCTAGCAACAATCATGAAACAAAATAGAAGCTTTCTTCTTCCCCTCTCTTTGCAAATTCTGATCAGCTTGTGTAGGAGGGAAAAGAGCAAATGCTGAACCGGGAGAGTGAAAGTTATCTGGTTGTAGCAGAGATTTTTGAGATAAAATGAGGAACGTAGAGGAAGGCACTTTCAAATATAATGCATGATACACAGGAAGGCTACAGGAAACAGAAAGAAGGTGTTTTCCTGGGCCTGGTAGGGCTTGAAAGAACAATGAAAAGTTAAGCATTATTACTCCCAGCATTAAGGAAACGTCGATTTCATCTTTCTCAACCTGACCCCCACCCCCCCCCACACACAGTTTCTAAAACGAGAACACACACACAAAATTCCAGTATAGTATTTGAACTTTGTTTTCTCCCAACCCTTGACTTCTTACAGCTAGCTCAGTGTGTCCCCTCCCTAACATAAAAAAGAAAACAAAAAGTTATTCAGCCCAGCGATGCAAGGTCTTCGGGTTTCTCATTCAACACTTTACACTTTGATCCCTGAGGTAACGGAAAATCCTTATCGCCTAGACTTTCATTGGTTCCTACCAGCTCGGCTGGAAAGGATGGCAAGTGGGACAATCCTGAAGAAAAAGGAGTCACCCCCACGTCCTAAAGTACTTGGAAGTGCTCACTGGGATCTGCCTGTACTCCAGGCTGGTGCAACTCCACCGCCCTCCAGTGAAGTCCCAGAAGTGATCAAGTTTAAAGTGAAAGGAGGATGGAAGCATTATTTCTCCCTGTGCCTCCGGAGTCTGTGGCTTCAGTTTGCTGCAGGTTCTCTCCGTGGACTTCTCAGAAACCTCAATTTTCCACTTCGAGGGACAGAAAGCTACAAGAAAAACGCTGATGGCTTTGGTGAAGATTCTCCTGGACTTCAGTGGTGTCCTCTGGTACATCTGTCCGCGGTGTCCCTTTGGTTTATTTCTGTGGTCTTACTGCGCAGTCCCCCGGCGGCTCGGAATTTGGCTCTCCAGCTCTCCAACTCAAATCCTGAGCCTCCTAAGCTCCCGCGGAGACCCCGAAGTCCCGGATCTGGCGCCGCTCGCAGTCCTGGAGGGAGGCTGCAGGGCTGGAAGTGCAGTCCCGGAGCTGCGCTACTCTGGAAAGCAAAGCAGCCAGACGTGGCTTGAGTGGATTCCTAAGCCCAGGATTGGATCAGGAGTACCAGGGGCAGAGAAGGGGAGCAGAGGAAAGAAAGGAGATGTGAGCAGTTTCCACCTAAAGCACTTCACTCCTCGGGTTCTTCCCCTACAGAGATAGCTGTGTGGGTCTTTCTTACCCGTGGGTGCAGCTGTGCGCCTTTGGGGTGAGCCCAAGGTTGTGCTCGAGTATACGCGCGCCTGTGCACTTCCAGGGCAATGGTAAAGCCTGCCAAAGCTTTTTGGAACAAAACGAAAGAGCTCCCTATCCATGGAAGCCACCGGCATGGGCCTTTGCCAAGTAGGGCAGAAGAAACCCTTGTTAGCCAGCTTCCTTTTTGCAACTTCCTACTCTTCCATTGCCTTTGGGGGTACAGACTGGTGTCTGGGCTAGCTAGGATCAGAGCTGAGAGCGAAGGTGCGCGCAGTGTCCGAAGACCACGTGCTGGTGAACCCACAATGAGAAGCGAAAGGGTTTCAGGATTCTAGCAGAAAGGAAGAGCAAGATTTCACTTAGGGTTCTTTAGAAGAAAGAGTTAACTTTGCTTACTGGCTTTTTCAGGCTGGGCGGAGTGGGGATATAGGGTCGGGGAGAGAAGCACTGGGAGTCTTGTCGGAGTCTAAAGCAAAACCAGGCGAGGGCTCCGGGCAGATCCATTCCCGCAGGGCCCTGTCTAACCTCCTTTCCAGTCTCACCTCTTTTCTGCTTTAGACCCTGTTTCTGTACCGGTGACCCTTACAGACCAGGTCTGGATTATGAAGATTGTTGGGCTCCCTTTCTGCCCTTGACATACTAAAATGTGACCAACTGCAGTATTCGTAATGTCTGATGCTGAGCTGATTCCCAAATATAAATGTTCTTTACAGAATCTGCTCCCATCTGATTAGTAAGCAAATCACCACCCACAACTAAGGGGACAGCGGAAGCCAGCCTCAGATGACTGAAACCCCCAAGTCAGTAGCTCTCCTTCTCAAAATTTCCGGCGGGTTATTATAACTAATGCCTTTTCCCACCTCCCTAAGCAGCCGAAGCTTGACTCAGTGATGATTCTCTCTATCCCACAACCGAGAGGAAGTGGGCGATCAGCAAATTGCCCTTTTGCAGGAGGCTGGGGACGCCCCTGGAAGTTCGCTTTCATCCTCCAGGTTTTCTGCCTTTTCCCTTCCCCCTTCCTGCAACGCCCCCGCGCCTCCTCAGCCTGGGGATTTCCCGGCGCTTCGCCCGCCCTCTCCGCACCCCCCTGATAAATCCGTTCAGAACTAGTCTGGCTGGGAGGCCCGAGGGCTGAGAGCAGCTGACCGGCCCCGGCCGGGGTCTCACGGACTCTCGGGGTCTGGCCGACACGGCCGCTCCCGTCACTGCGGCGCGAGCCGAGCTCACGGCCGCGCGCCCGCCGCCGCCGCCGCCGCCGCCTCCATGCTGCAGCGCGGGGCTCAGTTCCACGCGGCCAGGAGGCCGCCGTTGCCGACAAGCACAGCCTTGGGAAGCCTGGCTCCCGCGTCCGCCCCGGCCGCGGCCGCAGCCCCGGACCTCGGCTGCTTGCCTCGCGCCTGAACTGCGGACTCGCCCCAGCGCGGTGGCCAGCGGGCGGGGTGTGCAGCGGCGCGCAGGGAGGTGGTGAGCGTGTGCAGAGCTGCCCGAACGGAGGACTATGTATGTGTGTGCGCGTGTTTGCGCGTGTTTTTCATTCTTCCCTTGAGAATGTGAATTGTTATAGCAGCTGGCTGCTCCCTTAAGATTCTTGACTTTGGGGAGCTCTGGGCTGTGAGCACAGCCCACCCATATAATTCATTTTTCACCGTCGGTTATATCAGGAAAAAAAGCGCAACTGGACGGGGGTGGGGCAGACCAACGAAACCTTCTGGAGACACACACATACACACACACTCACAGGAGAGAGGAAGAATTGAAAGACTTGAGAAGACTTTGACAACCTCCCTGCTGGCCCTTCTGTTTTCCGGAAAGATCCTGGATGTTGGCTACCTTTTCAAGTCATCTTGGCATGTCTCTAGTGTTTTGTAAGCCGCTTTCCAGCTAGCTGCGTGTGTGTGTGCGCGCGTGTGTGTACGCGCGCGCCTATCTGATGCATTTGACTGTCTTTTATCCAACTGCCCAGAAGCAAATGTGTTAAGTCGGCGATGCCCCTTCGTGCCCGGGTTCTTGCAGAGCTCTGAGGACGCCCAGACCCATTTTCCTGGCTGGATTTGGAGCGGCTGCTGGGCTGTGGACCCAGGTGTGTGGATCGCTTTATCCAGAAGCTTGGAAAGCGCCAGTATTGACCTGCTTCCAGGTACATCACAAGGTCAATAGAGGGTCTTGCAGCCCTCTTGTTTCCGTGTATCTACACCTTCTTCTCTTGGCCAGAAGGATATTTACGTTTTGGTCCACAGCATTTGAAGCCAAAAGTTCAGCCCTTGGAACTGGTTTGCTATACAAAACAAAACAAAACAAAACAAAAAAGGTAATGAGGATTGCTTATCAAACTGCTTAACAAAATCCCCGACTCTTCCTCAGCCCTTTCTCGGCTCCCTCCTCTCCACCAAAATGTCACCAGCTCTTGAATTACGTGGATTCGGGTTGGAGGAGAACTTGAAGGAAACGTGATTAAAGGGCTATGCGAGAACGCTCTCTTTGCTGCCCGCGGTCCTGTGGGCTTCGAAGCCAATCGTGAGAAGGACTGGTTCCCTCCGTGCTGCTTCCTCCCCGTGCAGTGCCGGGTGTGCGTGTGCAAGTATGAGTGCAAGTGCGCGCGCGCCCGGGTGCGAGTGTGTGTGAGTGTGAGCGTGTGTCTGTGTGTGCGTGCGCGGCCGCCCTGCCTCTGCCCGCTCCCCGGGCGCGGAGCCGCGGGTTTCATGGGGCGATTGCAGCGGATCCCCCACCCAGCGCGACCTGCGGGCAGCGGCGGCAGTGGCAGGAGCTGCCTTTCCGACTCCCTAGGATGCGGGTGCTGAGCTATGGCAAAGGGCAGCGAAGTGACGAGCGAGACCCGCGTAAGACTGTGAAAGCCACCTGGAGCCACCTTGCCGGGATTGTACCTGCAGGCAGAAAGTCTTCCTACGACCGTCTTTTCCCCTAGAGGCACCAGGTAACAAGCCAAGGATTACTCGCCTCACCCAATTTCCTTTAGATCTTGTTTCTAGTGTCTTATCTGCATTGCAGGCTACTTTACTTATTAATGTTTTGAAAATCATTGGGAAGGGTTGAGTATCCAAGGGCGCCTGCTCTGTGATTTTGTAATACAATTTCTAGTAGGTGAAATATACATCTATACCTGAGCACTTAATCTAGTAGTGAAAGCTTTGGGAATATGGATGTGCTCCACCCTGAGGATATTTTTTGAGAGCTAGGCGTGTGGAACCTGTCTGATGATGCCAGAGATCAAAATTCTATTTCCTTCAGGCTATGGTTGCCACGGACCATTTGGTACCCAACCCTCTCCAGATTGTGGAGTGTGAGTGGGTGTTTGGTTTCCACCCATCATTTAAACCAAAGATCTTTTTTACCTTTTTTTTACCTCTGGTGCCAGGTTGTTTTCTTTCCTTGTTGTGGAGGAGCTTGCCAGATCTTTTTAGTAGTTGTAAATTACGCATCTGGAGACTTTGACTTGAAATGGAGTTTTCTTGGAACTTGGTTTGCATGAAAGGGAATATATTGTCACGGGTGTGTGTCTTGAGATATGGTGTTTAACTGCCCGGGCGTGCTTTTATGTAGCAGAATAAATCCATGAAAGAAGTCATTTTTATATCTAGCAGAACCAGGCTAAACCGATAGCCACCACCCAACATTCTCTCCAGCTGTATTGTCTCCGTCACGTCACAGAGAGGGGCTCCTGTGCGCGGTTTTTTTTTTTTTTTTTTTTTTTTTTTTTGTCTCTGTATAATAGATACTTTGAATTTCTTTTTCTGGTGCCTTGATTTACAAGGAGCAGGTTGGATTTGCGACTGCCTAATTAACATATTGGGTCTGATATGTTAAAATGAGATTCCCATGGCCAGCTGAAGCAGAACAAATTTAGTTAACTTCCAGAGCCCTTTACCCTGGCGCCTTTTTTCCCTGAATTCCCTTTCATCCTATCTCAGCGCCCGCCGCCAACGGAAAATTTCACTCCCTTCTCGAAGACATTAGAATTAACAAGATAAAGCACTTCCAAAGTAGTCTCATCAATGTTTTATTCCATAGTGAAGATGGTCTGAATAATTTAGCTAAGGAGTGTTAGTTTGTCTCCCGCCTTTGGGAGCTGCTTGCTGGCTACATTCAGCGGAGGACTTGGCCCAGCCAAGCTCAGGGTTCCCTGCTTCAGGAGGCAGTGACTGGGGCTGTTGGGGGGCGGGGGGTTCTGTTTGCTAAAGCCGCTTAGGAAGTGTAGGGGCGCTGCCTGGTTTTCCTCTACTCGCTGCGTTTCTGTAGATATCCATATGATGGCATTTGCAGACTTCTAACTGGCCCATAGCTGCTCTGCTTGTCCCTGCGTACTGACGTCCCCAACTCCTCTTCGAGTCTGGGCTCGGCTGCTGCTGCAGCCCTCGCAGGCTGGTGGTGCTACAAGGCCATGTATGCAGCGGGCTTTGGGGGCTGGGCTCTGCCATTGCAGCTGGCAGGCCGGCTTTGACACTTTCTCCGGGCGGGGCGGAAGAGCTCAGCGGACCCCCTGGCAGACAGCAAGCGGATCGTGGCCGAGGCGGCCGCCTGGATGTGAGAGGAGGGAGATGCCCAGAGCCAAAGAGGAGCGTGGAGGGCGGTGGTGTCCTGCCTTTGCCTGCAAAACCTTTCTCTCTCTCTCTCTATCCCTCCCCTCGGCAATGAATATTCAAGAATATGGAAGGAGAGCTGGCTACAAAAATGTCTTGATATTCAAATACTGCATGATTTATCAGGATTAAAAACCTGAAGCTAAGTGTGTATTTCCTAGATTTCCATTTGTTCCTCTTTCTAACCCCCCTTCTTGCTCTCCTCGGTTTGATCATGTCATTTATACCCGTATTGTTTGTAGTTGAAACACCTCTGTAAAGTCAACTAACCTTCCTCCCCAACCTGGTACCCAATAAACATGAAAGAGGAGGACATGAGGGCCACTCTTCAGATAGATTTGCTTTGTAACTTCAAGCTGCAGGGATAACCAAGGAATGATACAGAAGATACCTCGACTTTAACAGAACTTCCCCCTCTGAGGTCCCGGGCGGGCCGGGGGTGGGGTGGGGGGGCAGTGGGCGGAGGGAAGTATATTGCCTGGATTAAATAATGAAATAAATGAAAGATAACAGATAATTGGGAATACATTAAAAAATGATTTTTTTCTTTTATTTTCCTTTTTTTTTCTTTTTCTCTTTTGATGAATTTACTTCTAATCCTCTTATCACTCAGAAAATCTTAGAAATCTGATTTGTGTATTCTAAACGTCTGACAAGGACACCACTTTGTCCTCCCAAATTACCCCAGAATGCTATTACAACAGTATTGATATCATACTTTCAATATTTGTTAGCAAGTAAGTTATACCTATCTAGAGAGTGCCCAAGAAAAAAGAAATGCTGGTGAATATAGGTTCTTGGAAAATGAGGTGTTTTCACCACCTCCCACCTATTTCACTTTCTTCTGGCCTTTTCCCACTAAGGATTTGATTTTTTGCAGGTTAAGCTTTGTTCTTCCACCTTCAGCCTCGGGGAAGGCAAAGCAAACGCATTAAAATGGATGCTGAATGCTCAGAAACCTAAACAGATGATGGTGTGATGCATGTTTGAAAATGTCACTCATTGGTGCGGATTGGACTTAGGTTAAAGGTCATAACTAAATAGAACTACTAGCACACGGTTACATGCATAGAGGTTCCTAAGGGGGGGAAAAGATTTCTGCTACCTTTTTCTTCTCCCTTTTCTGGAAAAATGGAGAGGGTACAAGTTACTTTGAAAATCTGAGTCCACTGTCCTTGCTAAGAATTGTCTTAGATAGAGCTGGCCTGGCTCACTAGCCTGACTCATTGATGAATTAACACTTCAGGTATTGATAGGACATTTTCCAGCCAAAAGCCTCCTTCTTTGTAAGCCCTCTTTTAGTCACTATTAATAGGGACAGAACAATAGGATATCTATAAGAACAAGCATAAGCAGATAGGTGAAAAGAAGTTGTCGTTTGATTCCTGTACCTTGGATAATTTCTTTTAGACATTTTTTTCCCTTTCTCTTTTCAAGAGGAGAATGACCTTGAACACCAGGCTTCTGTTCTTTCATACACCTCTCTCCTTCCCTCATAGATCTAATGTGTGTATGAGCACACACTGCTTGTTTTTGAAATATGAGATTCCTGTGCTGATGTTTTGGGAGAAGTTCATAAAGGTTTAGTTCCGACTGACACCAGCCAGAAGTGATTTCTTTCCTTTTTCTGAAGAGGGGATAGCAAGAGCTGTAGTTACCTGTGGGAGAATACCTCCACCCTATTCCCTCTTCAATTATTTTTGTCTCCTCTGTCATTAAATGGATTTTGCGTGTTGAAGCAGTATCTGGTTATGGCATTGGTGTTTAAATGATCTTCATATGTTATGTCATGTTTTATCACCCTTTCATCTTTTCATGAATGGCTCTCATTTCCTTTGTCCATTTAAATCAGTTATCTTGATCTTGTTGCTGTTTGAAGCACTTTTGGCTTAGTAGTTTTGCTGAGTTTTCTTGCTGGTGAAATTGAGATCTTGCTTTCTGCTGATGTATTGCTGTGTTGTTATATGGTTAGGATGAGATGCTTGCAGGTATCTAACAATATTCCTGCCTCTACATGACACTACTACATAATATCTACTAAATTATATATTTTAAAATAAATGTATCATAAATAAGATTGCTATTAAGTTTTATTGCCAATTTTGAGGCTGGAAAAAGGAAGCTACTTGAAACTTCCTAAAGGCTTAACTGGCTAACCTAGAAGCTTATTTCAGTGATTTTTATTTTCTGGTTACTTAAAAATGTAACATATTGGCATTATCTTCAGGGTTTTGTATATAGTATAATGAATTTTATGTTTTATGTATTATTGAAGAGTAAAACTGGAAATTTGGACCTTATAGGTGTGAGTGTGAGCCCCTAGAATACATAACTAGCAGATAATTTTGCTAAATCATTCCAATAATACACATGTGCATACTCTGCCTTGTTCAACAAGCCTTGAGACTGAGACTACTTATTCTGGTTGCAGAGCCCACATTTTTATTCCCATGGCATCCTTCAATCATTGAGGACTGTTTAGAACCTAAGGCTGTATAATTTGTTCATTACATGGTATGTGCATAGTGAAATTAAGAAGTATTATGTTCATAATTATTGAAGCTATTCCACTTAGAGGTGAACCATTTTTAGTATGCTCTACCAACATAAATTGTATGTTATTATGAAAATTCCAGTTTCATATAACAGAAGACAGAAATGTAAGAATTTAATTCAAAGATAGCCAATGCTACTTTTAAGCTTTTTCATCATATTGTTGTGAAGGATACTGTGTTGACAAAATAATTTTTACTAAACATAATTTAATTTTGCATAAACATTTTACATGACATAATTTAATAGTAATTATGAAGTTGGTTAATAAGTGGTAAAAATTACAATGGAATTACATATTTATATAACTCTGCCGTCTGTCATTTCACTGATTCCAAGTAAACCACATGAAAAGTATTTATTGTTTAAACTGCAAACTACATTTGTAATATTTCTCAGAAATTGGTTTTCATAGGCAGTGTTTAAGTTACATGGTCACATTGGCAGGAAAATGTCAATTGACAAGTTTGTTCTTCTTAGAAAATATGTCTTCCTTTGGGCATATACCCAGTAATGGGATTTCTGTGTCAAATATTATTTCTGGTTCTAAGTCTTTGAGGAATCACCACACTGTCTTCCACAATGGTTGAACTAATTTGCATTCCAACCATGGCACATATTTACCTATGTAACAAACCTGCACATGTATCCCAGAACTTAAAATAAGAAAATATATCTTTTTACAAAAGAAATCTTTCAAAACTCAAAAGCTCACACTGTTCTTGCATTTTGTGTGTGTGTGTGTGTGTGGGAGCATGGATATAATTTATTGCTCTAAAAAATC